TGGCCGATTTTTAGGGAGAGGAGGGAGGGTGGAAGGTGCTTGGAAGTATGATGGACAAAAACTTTTCTCCTAGATGTATGTTAGTCAATTGCATGGATGTATGTCATGCAATATTGAGGTGTCACCAATTTTTATCCAATTTGTTTTTTCAAACATGGGCTAACCGATCCAAGAGGGATCCTCGGCCCAAAAGAGCAGCCCAAGAAGAGTAATCTCAATTTCTGGTTTGGCCCAATAAGGGTTCTCGGCCCATTAAAGCTTAATAAATGGTTTTTGGTTCAAAGGCCCCAAATATATTAACTCTCAGCCCAACTAAGGCCCATATGTGTGTTTTCGGACCAAAAGGGCCCATTGGGGGGTTTTCGGCCTACTAGAAGGCCCATTAGAGATTTTTTGTCAATTAGGATAGGTTTCGGCCCAATATACTACTTAATAGGGGTTTTCGGCCCATTATGGTCTAAGAATAAATTTCACGGCCCAATAAGAGTGTATTGGCCCAATTAGGGGTTTTGGGTCGAGAAAACTTGGTCTAAGGTCCAAAGTTGAGTAGACTTAGCTCATTGGATCAAGTTTTGGGCTTATACGTGGTCGTTTCATCTTGAATCACGATGTACGAAAGTATGAATGTGAATAACTTTGTGGTGTGAATTTCCTTGGACGGGGTGTTGCAAGGTCGCATGGAAGAAATTGATGTGAGCAAGCTTCATATCTTAAATCCTAAATTGCTAGTTGTGACATTAAATCAGAATTTGAAGAAGTCGTTGTTGAGATTGATTTGGTCTATGACCAAAATTTCACACCATTGACAAAATGGACTAAAGATCATCCGAAATCACAAGTGATCGGAGATACTTTTTCAGGGGTTCTCACACGTGCTCAACAAAAGGAGAAGCAAACTGCTTTATTTTCTAAATTGGAATTTTGCATGTTTAGTTCTTTTATTTCAAAATTTGAACCTAAAACTATTAAAATTGCTCTTGATCATGCAGATTGGGTTCATGCGGTACAAGAAGAACTTAATGAATTTGATCGGAACAAAGTATGGAGATTGATTCCTACTACAGAAAATTCATCTGTGGTTGGTCTGAAATGGGTATTCAGAAACAAGATGGATAAGGAAGGAAATTTTATTCGCAATAAAGCACGTCTAGTAGTCACATGATATTGTCAAGAAGAAGGCATCGATTACGAAGAGACGTTTGCTCCTATCGCTAGACTTGAATCAGTTCGCGTATTTCTAGCCTATGATGCTCACAAAAACTTTAAAGTATATCAAATGGATGTGAAGTGTGCATTTCTAAACGGAGAACTTGAAGAAACAGTCTACGTTGAACAACCTCTAGGTTTTGTAAATGATAAATTTCCGAATCCCTGTTATATTCTGGACAAAGTTGTATATGGTCTTAAACAAGCTCCACGGGCATGGTATGAAACTCTGATTCGTTTCTAAAAAAATCTAAATTCAAACAAGGTTCTGTTGATCCTTCATTCTTTCAGAAGAAAGAGGGTGACCATTTAATGATAGTTCAAATTTTTGTTGATGATATTATTTTCGGATCCACTAATGCCAGCTTAACTACTGAATTCCGTAAATTAATGGAGATAAAATTTGAAATGAGTTCTATGGGTCCAATAAATTTTTTTTCCTTGGTTTAAATATAAGACAGAGTTTGGAGGGAATATTCATCAATCAAGAAGCTTTCACAAAGACATTATTGGCCAAATTCGGAATCGTAGGTGATTCAAAAGTCAAAGTTCCTATGACGTTCAGAACAAAACTCACGTCTTCACTTGACAAACCAGCAGCAAATATTACATTGTTTCGTCAGATGATCGAATCTTTATTGTATCTAACATCTAATCATCCAGACATAATGTTTGTTGTTTGTTACTATGCAAGGTTCTAAGCAAATCGTCGAGAACCTCACATGATGGCGGTTAAGAATATATTCCAATATATAAAACGAACATCTTCACTAGGTTTATGGTATCCACCAAATTCGGGATTCATTGGGCAAGCCTATTTTGATGCTGACTTAGGAGGATGTGGTCTTGATCGGAAAAGTACATCAGGAGGATGTCAATTTCTGGATGGAAAGCTTGCCAGCCGGTAGTCCAAAAAGCAAACATGTGTGTCCTTATCCAAAACTAAAGCAGAATATATTGCACCAGCATCATGCACATATCAAGTGGTATGGATTCAGAATTAGTTACGAGACTACGGAATCAATATAAAAATGAATTCCTTTGTATTGTGATTCCGAAAGTGTCATTCGAATCTGTCACAATCCAGTACAACATTCCAAGACAAAACATATTGTGCTTCGGTACCACTTTATCAAGGACCATGTTGAAGATGGGAATGTGGAAGTTCATTTTTTCGATCCTCAGATCAGCTAGCCGATATCTTCACTAAAGCTTTACCAGAAGTATCATTCAATCGGATTCTACAAGGTTTGGGAATGATCAAAGCTGAATCTGTTCCGAAATCAACACCGTAATTGTTCATGTTATTGTTCACTTCCGAATGGTTCCGATCTTCGTAAGCTGTTAGAATTAATTGTTCACTTTTGAATGGTTCTGATCTTCAGAAGCTGTCGGAATCAACTATTCACTTCCTACTTGTTCCGATCCTCGGAGTAGGACTCAAGTAACTGTTCATTCAGATTTCGGAATCAACTATCTTAGTAAATCTTTTTAGAAAAGCAAAAATCTAAAAATATTCTTCTTGTCTTATTCTTTTCAGAAAAACAAGATTCAACAAATATTTTATTCGTTTATGTATTTTCTTTTTCAAAAATTCAAAAATATCAAAAATATTTTTCTTTATCTCAGTTTTCTAAAAAATCAAAATCTCAAAAATATTTTATTTTCATGAAATTGATGGTAAATTCATTTCTGAATTTTAGTCTGCAACAAGGAATTGACGGTTGACATCATCACTTCTTTCTACCATATCTTATCACGACTTTCATGTAGTTTCCTTGACTATCGGAACATAACCATTTTCGGTATAGGGCTACAAAAATTCTTGTTAATGATCGCAAAATCATTGCTAACATGATTTTCATGAAACTCTCAACCATTCAACTCTCAATCTATTATTCTCCATCTATTTCCTATTCATAATTGTAACCCTTTAGACTCTTAGGTTTTACCACTGAGGTTTAGGTTATACAACATTTGTGTTTATGATCTTGAAATCATAATTACCTTGATTTTGAGTTAAACTCAAAAAGCAATTACCTTTTCTGAATTGACAGCGAACAATTTTTTTGTTCCATTTTTAACCACTGATTTGACGGTGAACAATTCATTGTTCTTGATATTTTACCCATTGAATTGATGGATAAAACCATTTGGTTTGTACCTTTGAATGTTGAAAATCTCATTTTTCCTTTGAGTGGTCTTAATGAAATGTTCTCATCCCAAGTCATTTCCTCCCATAAGATCCAGGTTTTTAATTTTTTTTTTTGAGATTTCCGGATGAACATTTATCCAAAACACTAAGTTACTATAAAGAATATCCAAAGCTTGCTTGTTTTTATGGCTACACTGGTCAAACAAGCACTTCTTTCAGATCTTCATACTTATGTTAAGTTTCGGAATCTGTTTGAAGCTGAAACCACCCATTAAGCCTTATAGAAGAATCCTTTCATAGTTTCTCAACAAACTGATGATCTTAATTCACGGGAAACCACACAAGCACTTCAGAGTCTCTCTTGACTTAGAAGGAAGGGATCGCTGTCCGGGTCCACCTGCTTTTCATATCAAATATGTTTGATATCACAAATCCCACATTTTGCATTTGCTTAATTCTTTTTCTTTGGCACACTCTTGCACCAAAATCCTTGTGATTTTACAAAATCTGGTTTTGGTTACGATTGGTTGTTTTATTTCTGAAGAACGAATCTTGCTCGTAATTCCGATGGATACTATTCAAGCTTATGCACAGCTGAAGGGTAGAGCGAAGATTTTGAACATGATAATTCCGAAAATGGTGATTCTGAAAATACCTTGTCATGGTATTGGAAAATTCAAATCATGGCGCGACTTTTGAATATCCCTGACATCTGCGTGTCTGTTATAATGATCACTGACAGTAGAATGATGAGCTGGCATATTTTTATTGGCTGATTTTTCGGGCCTATGGAAATGTGAAATGACGGTTTCTCTCTCCACTCAATATCATTGATATATAAGCATCTCAAACGGTTCATTGTTTCTTACCGCAAACACTGCTCACGAGTTTTCAAGCAAAATCATAGCTCTCCTACTGTTCATCTTCTTCTTTACTATTTCTATGGCTTCTTCAGAGAACGTTTCTTTTGCTGATTAATCTACCTCGGTGATCATGTTGAACGTCAAACCCAACTTGAATCTTATCATTGACCTTGATGCTTCTCGCTACAATGCTCTGATCAGACCTTTGATCGAGTGTTTAAAGTTCTCGCCATTGATGAAAGAACTGACATTTTCTAAAGATGTTCCTCTCGTTTATCTCTCCAAAACTTTCTCAACTGCGATTTACAACAGGTCTGAAGAAGTCATCTATTTTGAAGTTTCAAGCCACAGAACATCTATTACAAAAGCCAATTTATGAAAACTTATAGGGCTTGTTACAACCTAACGTTAGTGTTGATCTTGACTAAATTCATGCCACAAGATTAATCGAGATGTTCTTCCAAATGGGCTACACTAGTGACATCTCCTTACTATTGAAGTTCAGGAAATCATTCTTACCTCCAATGTGGAATGGGTTGTTTAATTTACTGTTCAAAAGTCTGTCAGAAAGGGTTTCGGGTTCTGACAGTGCGATCAAGCTCTTCTATACCTTGATCTACGGGTTATACCATGGTATCAACTTAGACTTTGGGTCTGTAATTTGGTCTCAATTCATTCAAAGCACCAGATCAACCACACGTCATACCGAAATTTCGTGTGCTCGTTTTTAGTCAATTGTTTTCAACAAATCACTTCTTCACTACAAGGTTCCTCAGATGAAAGATTCTCTTATTGCTGAAATTCTGATGCTCCAGACCACTACATTTGTCATGTCGGATCCCAGGAATTTTGAATTTGTTGGATCAATTCCGAAAGTATTGATGAAGAGAGTTCTTTTGGATAACGCCATTATTAGGGCTTATCGAAAATTGCCGTCTTCTGGTGTTCGTCAAATCCCTGGTAAAAGGAAATCCAAGGTTGTTCCTTCCAAAAGATAATTGATGAAGGTGATAAACCGAAACGAGGTGGTAAAAGGAAATCCAAGGTTGTTCCTTCCAAAAGCATCAAAGTTACAAAGAAATCAAAGAAGGTTGTTTTGAAACCAAGGTCTCCATCTCCGATGCTTCATGAAGAATCTGAAGAAAGAACTATAACAGAAGTTCAGGCAGATAACATTTTCAGAAACGATGTAGAAGATACAACTCATACTTCCGAACCACCCACTATCGAAACAGTTCTGAAGGTATCTTCTCCTCTAATCTCATCCATTCCGGAATCTGATATTTTTGAAACTATCATGAGGGAACCACTTCTGAATCTCACCACTCCTCTTCCTCCACCTCCATTCAATCCACCAACTTTACCCATGTCAACCTCACCCATTACAACTTCCATTCCGATATCCTCCATTCCATCACTACCAATGATGAGTTCTGCTGAAACATCTCAACCCCAGATTTCTACCCCATTTTTTACTCGTATTTTCACATACACAACCGTTCTTACCACAACCACTGTCACAACTTCGCCCGAAGTTCCTATTATCAAATTCATTTCGGAGGAGATTAGGACTTCAGGCATCCCTGGCAATACATCTGATGTGGGGTCAAATGCCAATATTGGTGTGTATTCGGAACCATCTTCCTCTGTTTCACCAACTTTCCATGAGGACACTGATATTATGTTTGGGGATGATCAAGAACCTCTTGATGATTTTTTCTTCCACCCATTTATCGTCAATATCGATAGTGATAATGATGATGCCCCCATGACTAAAGGTCAATTCAAGGAGCTGAATAAAAAGCTTGATTCCATTCTGAAAACTCAAATGCCTTTTCTTCCACCAAATGGGAAAATGTGTTGACGACTCATAGAGAAATGGTGGAAATGCTCACATTAACAAATGATTAGGTTCTTGAACAAACAACAAAAATTGCTCAAGCTTCAGAAAAGAAAATTACAGAAGCCACTGAAAAGGTCAATAATCTGATAAAGGAAGTCCAAGAGTTCATGTCTGACTTCCGAACCTCCCCTGATAAAAATACGGTTGATATGAACAAAGCCATTGAAGGTTTTCAGACTTCTCTACAAGCAGAAAAAAAGCTCTCTCTGACCTCAGATTCAGAATTCAAAAAGACAATGTTGATCTTCACAGTTCCTTTTCCAAACGAATCCTTCGGTTACAATATAACTTGGTTGCTGAGAACAAGATCATGGATGCATTAGCTGAGCAAACTCAGAAAAAAAAGGTACTTCAAGAAAAATTGAAAAACGCATCAATTGATATTGCCAAGCTTGAGGAAGAAAAGATTTTAGTTCAAGGTCGTAACTTCGAAATCAATCAACGATTGATGCGTATTGTAGAGTCCAGAGATGCTCCAGTCACTGATTTTGTTGGTCAGATTCTCAGTGAAAAGCTGAAGCCTATATTTGAGAAGCACAAAGAAATTCAGAATGTTACGAAGAGCAAGGCTATTTCACAACAAGGGGGAGAAAAGGAGGTAAACATAAACAATCCGTATCAGACGGACCCCATATAAACTAAAGACACTGATTCGATCAGATTGGAAAAGAAAACTTTGGCCGAAAAATACAAAAAATATCAAAGAAGTCAAGACTGGTCGGAAGGACCATGTTTCTTCGGGATCAAGGAAAAGGAATGTCAAAATCATTTCAGAAAAAGATACTGAAGAAAATCCAATGTTGACTCGGAAAGAAAAAGTTGAAAGCGAAAAGAGGGATAAAGAACTTGATGAACTCAATGCCCTTAGGCAAAAACTAGAAGCTAAAGAGGCTGAGGCCAAGAATTCAGAGATGATTCTTGAAAATAAGAAAGCCTTATTCCCAGCCTGGACTCTTGAACTATTGCAGAAGGAAGCTATTGATGAGCCAAACACTTTTTTGTTAGAACCAAAAACTTCTTTTGACATCAAGAATGAAATAGTGTGTCAGCTCGATTTACCAATCACACCAAGGGCCTTTCTCTTTATATGTTTTGAAAAGCTAGAGAAATCCTTAATCTCTAACAGCACAACAAACAAAAAGCTCTTCTCGTTTTATCTGAAATATGCTAAACCTCAGTATGATTCTTGGAGTCTGAACAGAATCATGGCTCTGAAGGTTGGGCTACCTGTTCAAATAGAAGACTTTCTGAATATACCATTCAAAGGATTTTAGGATCACAATCATATTCTTCATGAGTTCATATTGGCTGATCTGCCATTTATGAACCCATATGATTGTATTTCGTTATTCTACATTGTTGCAAAGGACGTGAAGAAGTTCGAGCTAATTTATGAACAATTGAGAATGATGATCAAATGTTACATCCATGAGATGGCGAAGATGGATGTAGAAATTGCTTCAGTTCTTAAAAGAAAACCTACATTCTCGCATGTTGATCAACTCGAAAACATTGAAAATCTGAAGGGGGATTGATTAACAAGAAACACTGAAGCATTGTCTACAAGACAAAGGGAGGAGAAGTGATTAAGAAATGCATGTTCTTTTTGAGAGATAAATACTTGTACTCTACAAATGCTCTGAAAACACTCTTATCTTCGGCTGAAGCAAACATGTAACATCCGAAATTTCAAGCCCAATTTTTTTCATTTTTAATTAAGTAATTCTCAACATAGTTTACCAAAACATTTCCCATGCCATAACAATTGAAAACAGAAATATAACAATGTGTCTGAAAATCACAATATCAAAGTAAAATAAGTCAGAGTACAATCCCAGAAAACTCCATGCAGAAATCATGTGTGTGTGATGCGCTGCTACACTGCCGACTCCTTCCCCTTAGACAAAGAGGTACCTGAAACCAAAACGAAAACTGTAAGCACAAAGCTTAGTGAGTTCCCCCATCATACCACACATCATACAGACACATAGCATATATACTGCCGAGCAATTCTGGGGTGCCCGACCTACCCAGTACGGCCATTCTGGGGTGCCGACCTACCCATGTCAAGCCATTCTGGGGTGCTGACCTACCCATGTCAAGCCATTCTGGGGTGCTGACCTACCCATGTCAAGCCATTCTGGGGTGCTGACCTACCCATGTCAAGCCATTCTGGGGTGTTGACCTACCCTTCGATCCTAACAACCGATCCTCGGGGACTGTTCCACCCCCTACTGCTACTACCACATATAACATAACATAAACATACTGTCAGACATATCTGGGGTGTCCGACCTACCCTTCGGTCCTAACAACCAAACTTGGGGACTATTCCCTCCCTACTATCACTATCACATATAACATATCATGCTAGCATACAAGCATATCATCACATACTGTCAGACATATCTAGGGTGTCTGACCTACCCTTCGGTCCTAACAACCGAACTCTACCACTGTCACATATAACATATCATGCCAGCATATAACATATCAGGTAGTAGCAAACCTAGATGATATCACAAAGACAATCATCTAACATACAGCTCCTACTGGTGGGCCGGCATTGTGGTCGTAGACCCACCGCTAATGGAAGGTAACTCACCTCGAATGAATAGCTGCTGATAATCTGTGCGGGAAATCTCTGTCTGCTGCTGCTCCGGAAATCCACCGGCTATAATCCCCACAAAACACTTAGTCAGAGCCTGATATCTATTCTTAGGGTAAAATGACCATTTTACCCCTGACCAAGTCCAAGTCAAAGTCAAAGTCAACTTCCAGTTGACCCAACTCGCCGAGTTGGGTCGCCAACTCTTCGAGTCCCTATCTCTTCAACTGTCTTCATCCACGTATCCACTCGTCGAGTTTAGCGACGACTCGACGAGTTCTAATTCCAAAACAATCCCGAATGAACCTTCATCCGACTTGCCGAGTGGTATGAACACTCGTCGAGTTCATCTTCCTCCTATGAACACGTCCTATCCTCGACTCGCCGAGTTGTATGAACAACTCGTCGAGTTCATCTTCAAGAGTTGGGAGATTGCCTTGGACTCGCCGAGTCAGCTCATGCACTCGTCGAGTCCTATGAACTCCAGGACTATGGCTTATCCCAAAACGTTTGGGTCACTCCCCTGGACCCTCTAAAACCTTTCTACCACTCAACTGGGTCGCTTGAACCATAACAGAAAAGGGAAGTCTAACCTCGGACTCGCCGAGTCCCAAGAACGACTCGCCGAGTAGATACAAACCCAAGTCTATTTCTTCGATTTCAGGTGTACAACTCTTGTCCAAATGATAGATCTAGGCCCCTAAACTCGATCTAGCACGTAAAGTTACGAACTTTACGTGCATGCATGGGACTTTGAGCCAAAAAGGCTCTAAAAGAGGCTCTTAAGTTGCATGGGGGCTTCCATGGGTGGAAAAGCAGCTCTTTTCTGCCTTGTAACTCATCTATGGACCTAGATCTGAAGCCTCAACCCCCAACCATGCTTGCAATCATGGTTGGCTACCAAGAATGGCTTATAAAAGCCCTAAATCTCCCCAAAAAGGGATCTAGCAAATGAACAAGCAAGGTATCGACTCTATACCTTCTGGGAACTGCAAATGATGCACAAACTTGAACTCCCTTGGTCTTCTCTTGGTTCCTCAAGCTCTTCCCTTCCTTCTTGCCACCACAAACTACCAAGAATCACCAAAAAGGCCTTTAGATCTTCACAACACGACTAGGGTTTTGTATGGAGTATTCTAGGAGCATAAAGGGGCGATGGAGGCTGCATAAGGTTGTTTAAATAGGGTGCAAACCCTCAGATTAGGGTTTTGTCCAGTCAGAGTCTACTCGTCGAGTCTGGAGGCCGACTCGACGAGTCCGTCATTTAAATCCCGGATCAAATCCGCTTCTACTCGACGAGTTGGGCCTTCAACTCGCCGAGTCTCAGGCCAAAAATGCAAAATACTTAGATAGAAATACATACCAGGAACCAGGTGCTACAAATCTCCCCCACTTATTTTAGACTTCGTCCTCGAAGTCTGCTGCTCGTTCCTGGAATAGCTCTGGGTAATGCTCCATCATCTCCTCCACCGGCTCCCAGGTCCATTCCGAGCCCTTCCGGTGCTGCCACTGCACCTTCACCAGCTCGACCCTCTTGTTCCTCAGATCCTTCGACTTCCGGTCGAGGATCGCTACAGGCCGCTCGATGTAATTCAGGCTGTCATCGACCTGAATATCCTCTAAAGGTACCACTGCCGAATCGTCCACCAAACATTTCTGTAACTGGGAGACGTGAAAAGTGTTATGGATCTGACTGAGTTTGGCCGCCAGGTCCAGCCTATACGCCACCTTGCCCACCCGGGCTATGACCCTGAAGGGTCCACTGTATCTGGGGCCCAACTTGCCCCGCTTCCTGAACCGGATGACGCCCTTCCAAGGCGACACTTTCAGGAGCACCATATCTCCGACCTGGAATTCCAGGTCTGATCTACACTTGTCGGCATAACTCTTGTGCCGACTCTGAGCAGTCTAGAGCCTGCTCCGAACCTGCTGGATCCTCTCCGTAGTCTTGAGTACTACTTCGGTACTCCCCATGACCCTCTGGCCAACCTCACCCTAGCATATCGGGGTCCTGCACTTTCTCCCGTACAACATCTCGAAAGGAGGACGGTCGAGGCTCGCATGATAGCTATTATTATACGAGAACTCCGCCAACGGAAGGTAGGTATCCCAACTACCTCCGAAATCTAAAACACATGCCCGTAGCATATCCTCTAGCGTCTGGATGGTCCGCTCGTTCTGACCATCCGTCTGCGGGTGAAAGGAGGTGCTAAAATGCAGACGAGTACGAAGCTCGTCATGAAACTTCTTCCAAAACCTGGAAGTGAACCGCACATCCCTGTCGGAAATCACTGAAACTGGCACCCCGTGCCGAGCTACTACCTCTCGGATATAGATGTTGGCTAACTTCTCGGCCGAGATGCACTCTTGGATCGGTATGAAATGGGCACTCTTGGTCAACCGATCCACGATCACCCAAATCGAATCCACTCCCTGTGCAGTACTGGGAAGCTTGGTGATGAAATCCATGGTAATATCTTCCCATTTCCACATGGGAATATCTAATGGATGCATCTTGCCGTGTGGCCTCTGGTGCTCGGCCTTAACCTTCCTGCAGGTCAAGCACCGCTCCACATACCAGGCTACGTCCCGCTTCATGCAGGGCCACCAATAATCAAGACGAAGATCTCTATACATCTTTGTCGCTCCAGGCTGGATAGAAAATCTGGATTTGTGTGCCTCCTCCATCAGGATCTGGCACACGACTCCATGATAAGGGACGCACACCCTACGGTGAAGAGTCAATAATCCTCGGCTATCATAGTCGAAGGAGGAAACCTGACCCACTATACGCTCGCTCTTCCGATGTTCCTCCTTCAGAGCCTCCTGCTGAGCCTCCCGGATCCGCTCCAACAGTGGAGTCACCACTGTCATCCTCAAACAGATGTCCATGATCGGTGGTGCCTTGCGGCTAAGCGCATCGGCCACGACATTGGCCTTCCCCCGGGTGGTAAAGGATCTCGCAATCATAATCCTTTACTACGTCCAACCACCGACGCTGCCTCATGTTTAGATTCGGCTGATCCATG